AGGTCAAGCAGAAACCATCCTGGGGAGCCAGCTCACCCTGCCCATGAGACGCCCAAACTCGCCGGCGAGAAGCGAGGACGCTCCCGGGCTGCCGGGAAGGACACCCAGAAAGCAGCCTGGGCTGCCACACTTCTTCTGCACCCCTGCGCAAGACACAAGGTCATGTTTCTGGGTGAATGTTTGATGTTTACCCTCTTTGGTGGACCTTAACTTCATGGAGGAAGGGACCCTTCTGTGTTCCCCAATCCGCCTCTAGCCCCCAGTCAGACGCACGGTGGGTGGGAAGCTGGTGCTCAGATGAGCCAGTGAGTGGACCCACGAACCCGCCTGCTGGCCTGCTTCCGAAAACCTAAAACCACCTGCCAGCAGCCATCTGGGAACCGCATGAATGAAAGAAAAGTAAACAGGACTACAAAAGTTAATGGAAAAGTAATACAACATTTCCCCATTCATTTTTACAACTGTTACAAGGCAATAAGAAGTCAAATGCCAAAGAAGCAAAGTGCAGGTCCCTGGCCTTTTAAACAAACCTAGGTACAGAGCCATTCAGAAGCGCGGACCCTGCAGGGGGAGCAGAAGCACCTAGATTGCTTTTTAAATTTTATTTACAAGCCAAACATTATGTAGAAATTATGCGCTTTTCCTTTATGTTCTCTTTCTACCATATATAGGTATAAAACGTAAGTAAATGCTGGGCATGGGTGGCTCATGCCTGTAACCCCAGCATTTTGGGAGCCTACTGCAGGTGGATCACCTGAGGTCAGGAGTTCCAGAACAGCCCGACCTACATGGTGAAATCCCGTCTCTATTAAAAATACAAAAATTAGCTGGGCATGGTGGCACGTGCCTGTAACCCCAGCTACTCGGAAGGCTGAGGCATGAGAATTGCTTGAACAGGGGCCCGGGAGGTGGAGGTTGCAGTGAGCCGAGATCTCGCCACTGCACTCCAGTCTGGGCTACAGACTGAGACACCATTTCAAAAAATGTATAAATAAATAAATAAATAAACAAAGAAGCCCTGGGGCAAAAAAAAAGAAGGCAGAGTCAGGCAGGGGCCCTGCTGGCTGGGCGCATCACCCTCGAGGCCCTCCTCAGACCTATTGGCAAGGCTGGTGTGTTCTTGAGGCCCCAGGGACCTGATTTACTTCCATTTTCATGACAAAATGTTCCGGTGCTGTGGTTTAGTGACATGGGGGATCCAGACCAGGCTGTGTGCCTTTGGGTCAAGCCATGTAATTTCTCTGAGCCTCAATTTCTTCCACTTTATATAAACCTTACAATCTTTAACTGTCCTTGAGGATTTTCACTTTGTTATTAAGGATTGCTAAGTACTGAATAAAGCTCCTACTCAGCAACGACTTTTATCACTAACAATGAAAGTGTTTGTGATTTAAGTGAAAATATATATGCACATAAGAAACCATATATTGTATAACTACTATATAAAATATGCAGAGTAACCCTGATTTTATTTTAAAGATGTATCTTCATATGAAAATATTTTAAGGACAAAAGAAATTGCAATAGTCACAAGTTGTAGCATCACAGGTTATTTCCTTTTTGAGAGTCCATAAAATACAAATACCTTTTTTTTTTTTTTTTGAGACAGAGTCTCCCTCTGTCTCCCAGTCTTGCTGTCTCCCAGGCTGAAGGGCAGTGGTGTGATCTCGGCTCACTGCAACCTCTGCTCACTGTAATTGCTCCGGTTCAAGCGATTCTCCTGCCTCAGCCTCCTGAGTGGCTCAGATTACAAGCACCCACCACCACACCCAGCTATTTTTTTTTTTGTAATTTTAATAGAGATGAGATTTTGCCATGTTGGCCAGGCTGGTCTTGATCTCCTGACCTCAGGTGATCCGCCTACCTCGGCCTCCCAAAGTGCTGGGATTACGGGCGTGAATCCCCATGCCTGGCCGAAATCCAAATACTTAATTCAAATGTATTATCTCTAAAATATGAAACTGTAATGGAAATCTCCCGTGCCTGTGAAAACAGACACTCAACACGGCATCACCTGGTGAGGTGTGACATGACTGATCACAACAATGGAAATGTTTTATCTATTTCAAAATAACAATATTTAGAAGTCAGTCCTTATTCCCCGCTTGCCAACCCCCCAACCTGAAGAAAATGAAACACTTCCAACACAGAAGTGGCTGCCTGTCCTCTGCCTTGAACGTGCTGGGTGTGGTATGGAACTCAACCCAAATTCTTACACTGAAATCCTGACCCCCGGAGGATAAGAGGTAGGGCCTCTGCCAGGTGACTGGGTCACAAGGGTGGAGACCTGTGGTGGGTTAAGTGCCCTTATGGGAAGGGACAGGCAAGAGCTTGTGTCCTCTGTTTACTACTCAAGTACACAGCCCATCAAGAGGACGGCCTTAGGCATACAGCACACGGCTGGACCTGACGCCAGCACCTGACGCTGAGCTTCCCCTCCTCCGTAACTGGGAAAAGGAAAAGTTTGCTGTAGAAGCCACCGGGCCTTGTGACAGCAGCCAGAATGAACAAAGACAGGCTGTTTGGCAGGAAGGCACCTGACGTCATCCTGACATCCTCCAGTATTAATTTATAACATTTTCATAAGAAGCATTCATCAATTTATGGAAAACTCGTATATGTTCACATGGTAAATATAAAAGTAAAGGAGTTGGCTGGGCGTGGTGGCTCATGCCTGTAATCCCAGCACTTTGGGAGGCTGAGGTGGGCGGATCACGAGGTCAGGAGATGGACACCATCCTGGCCAACATGGTGAAACCCTGAGCGGAGATTCCGCCACTGCACTCCAGCCTGGGTGACAGAGCGAGACTCTGGTGGAGACTAAACTTATCCAGACAACTGAGCTTCAATCAGGCATCAGGGACCAGCAAGTTCTCTGAACGGGGCCAGAGAGTAAATATTCCAGGCTTCGCAGGCTGCAAAGACCCTCACCTCTGCTGTAACAGCTGGAGAGCGGCCCAAACCCTCTGCAGTCCACCCACACAAAGCATGGCTCTGCATCACAAAAAGTCTGTTTACAGCTGGGCCTGGTAGCTCATGCCTATAATCCTAGCACTTTGGGAGGCCACTGGGGCAGATGGCCTGAGCTCAGGACTTTGAGACCAACTTGGGCAACATGGTGAAAATCTCATCTCTACTAAAATACAAAAAATTAGCCAGGTATGGTGGTGTGTGCCTGTAATCCCAGCTACTGGGGAGGCTGAGGCACAAGAATTGCCTGAATCTGGGAGGCAGAGGTTGCAGTGAGCTGTGATCATGCCACTGCACTACAGGCTGGGCAACAGAGCAAGACTCTGTCTCAAAAAAAAAAAAAAAGGAAGAAGAAGAAGAAGAAAAGTCTGTTTATGAAAACAGGCAGCTGGCCTCATGCATGGGCCCGGGGGCCCTAGTCCGGGGACCCTTCGTCTACAATGCTTTACTTCCACATTCACAGGGGCCTCGGCTGTGCAGTGGCCGACACTGACCTTGCTCTGCTAGGGTACACCTCTCACAAGAGCTCTGAGGGGCTCCCTGCACAGTTCCTCCAAGTCTGTCTCACTAATGTTCGCCCGCATGGCTTGTGATGGATGAGGTTTGCTCCCCACAGGATGCTCTCATGACAGAAGTGGCGTGAGGAGGCCAGGGATAAATGTTGAGTGGGGGGAAGAAGGGGCTGGGCTGTGGGACCCCAGCGACTTTGCGCTGCTTTTCAGGGGAACCCTGAGCTCCTTCGGCATCGGCACTGGAAAAGGCAAGAAGAAACGTAAGCGGTGAAGGACCAACTAGGGACGACATGCTGAAAAACAGGTAAGAATCTGAGAGGCAGAGACGCGCGGGAAGGGACGGCAGGCTTAGGAAGGAACCCAACTGCTTCAGGAAAGAAAACGCGAAGTGTGAGAGCTGGTGTCATCTTTGAAAGTCAGTTGAACAGTGAGCGTATAGAATCCCTACAATTTCATCTGAAGACTAACTGAAACATTTAAAAGGAAAACACAGGCTGCCCATTTGGAGGAAGTCCCAGGGACAGTCCTGCGGTCACTGCTTTCACAGCTTGTCTTCAGGGGCGGAGCACAGCGTGCCCTCCATCGCCTCTGAGCGGCTCGACACTCTCCCCAGAGCCCGGGCGTGGCTGCCCTGCTCTGCTCCCGAAAACGCCCATGGCACCGGAGAGGTGACAGGTGCTCTGCCCCGATGGCTTTAAACCAGATGAGGAGAGGCCTCTACAAGTGATTCCCACCACTCCCACCAGCAATGGGACCCTCTGCCAGAACCAGGCTTCTCCCAAGCGTCCAACAAGAAAAGACTGGATTTAGAAATCTCAGTCCTAGCTGACCCCGGCCCTTCCTATCCCAGGGTGACACTACCTCTCTGCCCGCTGCAGGCATTTCCCCAGGTCCTGCTCTCAGAGCGGTGTCTGGCATTACAATTACCCACATCTATGTTACCCCTTACAGAAACTCAGGCTCTGCCAGGAGAATTTCCTCTGATTTATGGATGTTCCTGACGGCAGGTGATCAATAACGAATAAAATAACCTAAAAACAATTCCCAAAGGCGGGTCCTCACTCTCTGCTCTGAGTGCCATCTTATTTTTTTGGTGCGGGGGGAGGGGGTCTAAACTTGACACTCTGTGTCCCTTCAGTTTATTCTCTCCTCAAAGCCTCCTATCAAATATTTAAAGTGTTTTAAAGGACGGGATTGGATTAAGAATGGGCAACTACAATGAAGAAATGGCTCACAGACAAGTTTTACAGAGCACAAGAAATGTTCTCTCCTGTACAAAAAAAGGCCACCCAGATGACACACAGACCCTATGCCAGGCTGTTCACAAGCCACATCTTGTCTCTTCTGAACGCAGCACTTTCTATGAAACATACCTGAGGATCACCTCTGGAATGCAGTGCTCTCAAAACGATTGCCCACCCGGCAGTGACATCCTCCCGCCACCCACATGCACAAGGGCAGGCAGGACTGATTTCTCGAAGTGCCTCCTGTACGGTATTCCCAGCAATGCGCATTTACCGTCCTGGAAGACCCTCTCCACGTTCAGCCCGTATGTGGCACACGTCTCGTAGTACGTGCACCGCTTCAAGTCATTGGAGAGCTTCCTCGCCCTGGCATCGTCGATGACCCTCGGGTTAGTGGAACTTATGGCATCTGGAACGGAAGAGCAACAAGTAACGGCACGGTGACAATGACAGCTGTAACTACTTCCCACAACATACGCTCCCCACGTCGCAGAAAACCGGTCCTTACTCAGCAAATGTAATTATGCTATGAATCTGAAGTTTGCAGGGCATAGTTTGCCTCCCAAATAACACTCAAACATCAGAGAAAGTTAATTACAACTTAAACTTCCCGAGTAGAAATTTGTTTTACAGGAGAGCTTTTGAAACTGAAATTTTAAAATGTTCAGAAAGAAGGAATAAGACTTAATTATGCATCTAGAGAACACATGCTTTAGAAAGAAGAAAAAAAACCCACACAAAGTCACTATGTATAGGTCCCCTTCTGCGCACCACGCAGGTGGCTAGCCGTATTTCCTGCACCGGCATTATTTTTCCACGTGTGGTCACTTGTCCATTTTTTAGACTGACCCATTTAATCGATGCTCACTGGGCTCCCATTCGGGGTCTGGTTCTGTTCTGTGCACAGGGACACCCCAGTGAATGAAACAGAGAAAATCTGCACTCTCATCAGAGAGACATTCTAGTTGGCCAGAGAGGCAGGCAGGAAATGAAGATGCATGTGATGAATGGTTCTGAATGTGAGACGGCCACACTGCTAAGTGATGCAGCGAAGAGGTCAGGAGGCTTGGGTGACCCTGGGTTTTGGAGTAAGTGGTCAGGGAACCCTCATCTACAGCAGGTGGGGTGCAGCAGAGGGCGGCAGGGCACCTGGTGTACATGAGGGAGATGCAGGGATGAGGCCCAGAGGGGTGGGAGGGAGGTGTGCGCAGAGAGGGGACCCCGTAGCAGAGGACACAGCAGTGCAGCAAGTCCCCTGAGGTTTTAATGGACTTCTTCAGGGTCACAGGTGACCTGGATTCCCCCAATCCAAGTCATGTGTGCACAGGGCACGTTCGAGCAGCTGCACAGAGATGCCACCAGCACCAGTTTCCTAAAAAAGAAACAGAGCCCTCCTTTTTTTTTTTTTTTTTCTTTAGCTCAGCTGCCAGGACTCCTCACCCCCAGCCCGGCCCCATTCATTCCATTACTTTTGAGTTACAGTGGCACATGGAACAGAGAAATGAGGAGGCAGAACGTGAACAGTCATGAGGCTTAGGGAAAAGAGGACTTTTCAGAGACGTTTTTCTTTTCTGTTTTGTTTTGCTTTTGTTTTTGAGACAGAGTCTTGCTCTGTTGCCCAGGCTGGAGTGCAGTGGCGCGATCTGACTCACTGCAACCTCCACCTCATTGGTTCAATTAATTCTCCTGCCTCAGCCTCCCAAGTAGCTGGGATTACAGGTGCCCACCATGCCCAGCTAATTTTTGTATTTTACCATGCTGGTCAGGCTGGTCTTGAACTCCTGGCCTCAAATGATCCACCCTCCCGGGCCTCCCAAAGTGCTGGGATTACAAGCGTGAACCACTATCCCCAGGCTTCAAGAGACAGTTTTCTAACCTGAATCTTTTTCATAGGGCTTGAAGGCTCTTATGCCAAAGAAAACAATAAACAACTCTTTAAACAAAAATCCACCAACGGGATTTCTCTACCAAAGAAACAGCAGTACAGTTATACAACACAGCGACCGCCTTTCACATTTCGTTTATTTTTGAGGAGGAAGGGCAGATGGCAACTCCAGTCTTCGAAGTATATTTAAAGAGAGGCACCTTGAGGAATTTGGTTAGTTTTCTTCTTTTCTCATATACCATTTTCTTAGTCCTATGACATAGATCTGGGCTGACATTTCTCTGTTACCGGAAGGCAAGTGTACTCTGCAATTAGGGTTCTTTGCTGACAGTGACCAGTCCAGCCTCCACAGGCTGCACCCCATTCCAGGGATACAGTCAAAGGCCACTTCATCCTGCCTTCTTCTCTGGATAATTAGTAAATTCTACTTGCATTTCACAACATTTAAGGAAAAAAGTATTTTTTAAAAGTGCAAACATTTATTTTTAATTGTTAAAAAAGGAAATCCATGATGTTTCAATGCTCTAGGACAATTTTGAAAACACAGGCCACAGAGCATCCACCCAGCTTCCACGTGACCCTGACCCATGGCCTCCATCCTCAGTGGCACGGTCACTCTGTTTCTGTCAAATTTCGGCTTCACAGGTGCACCACGGACATCTCTGCGGGCTTCTGCACTCGCAATCTGCATGTCAGTTTTATACTTGTCTCGTTTTTCCTTCCACTTTTAACTCTGTAGCTTTTTACAGATCCTGCTTCTCCTCAAATCAATTTAATGTATACATCTTTAAAACAGAAACTGTTTAACAAACATTAAGCGACGACCTCCTTCAGTCCCATCTTGTCCGATTATGAACATTCGTGCAGTCCTTGACTAGTGCCCAGAGAGTGCTCCTGCTGGCACAGCTGCTCCTCCCGTCAGCAGGTGGAGGCCTCACCCCAGGCCAGGCAGCCTTGGCAATGAACCTAATTCCTCTTCGGTTCTTTCCCATCCCACATGCTCTGAGCTCTAATGCTGCCTACCCTAAACTGGCAGGAAGAGAAATGTTAGCCCCCTCTTGGACAACCTGGTCCCTCTTTTGTCTCTGGCATCCCAGGAAGCCAAGTCCGTGCAAAAGCAGGTTTCAAGGAGGGCAAGTCTGCATGCAGGACGCAAGTGCGGTTGGAGCAGGGACCCTCAGAGCCTACGCACATGCCAGCTTCCTGCCATAGGGCTTCTGGGGTGCTCCTTGAAGTCTAAGTAAAGACCAAGAGCATCCCGCAGGTGAGGAGTGTGGCCCTGATTGGAAGTTTCCATTCTGGTTCACCTGGGGTGTGGCTTGGAGCTGACATGTGAAGAGTCCTGCACGCAGGGAGGTCGCAGGGCCGGCTGACCTGCTCTCCCTGGAGGCCACCTTCATGCATACAGACACTCTCCTGTGGCCTTCAAGCCCATCTTCCCACATCTGATCAATGGATGTTTGTGGAATTCAAGGAATAAAAGGGGGTACTTTTACCCAAGGGCTTCAACTTCAGGAGGGCTTCTCGGGAGTCTTAAGTAGCCGGCCCAGTAGGAAGCTCAATGTGTCACTCAGCTCAGGCAGGAGGCTCATAGAAATACACTGCCTCCAGGGCAGGGACAGAGCAGGGCCTCTGGACGGGGTAGGCAGACCCAGGCAGGGCCTCTGGAACACCGGTCACACATTAAAATATGAGGAACAAAAGCAGCCAACATTAGACGCCTATCACAGACCCATGGATGCATTGAGTGTCTTCCAGGAATCCGTGTTTAACCCCACCAGAGTCCCAGGGGTCAAGGTCACCCAGCCTGCAGCCGGTCACACCCAGAAGTGTGTGGTCCTGGCTCCTGGGGTCTCAGACACTCCCCACCTACTGACAGAACACCATTCGAACTCAGAGAACTGACTGATGGCAGAGGATCTTTCCAGACTGTGAACTTCGCTGCCACTTTTCACAGTGAGTCTAAGCAAAAGGCCCTCCTGAGTCCTAAAATCAAAGCTCCTGGGCTTGAGCAGCCTGTGAGCGGTGCCTACACACACACAGCCCCAAAAAACTCTGCTCAGAAATGCCACAGTCAGGCCTGCGGGAAGGGGAGCTTATTTGGAACTTCTCTATTCGACTTCAAGGCAGCTTTCAGCAGAATCTACTTTGGGTGAGCACCCACTTTAAACCACGATTAGGAATTTTCGAGGGACCACCTCAAATACGGCAATTCTGCATTCCCATGAGAACCAAGAACCAAGAACTTTCTGGTGGTGCGGCCTTGTCTCCCGGTGAACACTAGAGGGCGCGTTAGGCATAAAGAATCCGTCCTCTGTTCTGTAAACCTGCCTCCGGGTCTGAAGGCTTCAGGAGAGAGAGCAACCAGTGGCCACTCCACACTCCGGTTATGCTTAAAAAAAAAAAGGTGAGGAGGTGCTCTCCAGGAAGCCCAACTCTAACACCTGCCACCTAGCATGCTGAGAAAATGCTTTTAGTTATTTATTTTTTTTTTTTTTGAGATGGAGTCCCCCTCTGTCTCCCAGGTTGCAGCGCAGTGGCACGATCTTGGGTCACTGCAACCTCCGCCTCCCAAGTTCAAAAGATTCTCCTGCTTCAGCCTCCAGAGAACCCGGGATTACAGGCACAAACCCGCCAGCACACCGG